AAATTAAAATTATTAAAATTATTTGATTTTATTCCTCAGGAATTAAAATCTTTGGATAATTACCTTCAAGCAATCTATCCTTTTATCAATTCATCTGCACTCAATGATTATCTTACAGAACATATAATACCTGTACCAGCAGATTATCCTGGACAATATTATCTTTGTAAAGCAATCATTCTTCAAAGGAGATATGGTGATTCATCAAATATTCCAGAAAATATTTTGCATTTGGTTCCTTTATTAGGTCCTTTGCATGTCTCTTTGAATACAAGGGAAACTACTGTAAAAATGTATTATCAATTTTTTAATATCTCTTATAAAGAAGTTTTTAAAAAGAGAAAAGATCTTCAAAAGAAACCTCAACCATGGATGACAGATCTTTTGATTTACCTTGCTCACTCTGGATGGATGATCATTAAAAAACAATTTTAAGAAAATTTAAAATAATAAAGATATTGAGTACAGAACCTTTTTAGATCTATTTGATAATATAATACCAGCTTGTTTAGATGTTCATACAATTTTGTTTCAGGAAGGCCATTTTGATGAATATATATCAACAATTTTTCAGTTGTGGTCTATTATAAGATGTTTTGAAAGAAAAAATTATAATAAAATAATGTTAGCTTTTTTTTCTGATGTTTTATATTGGCAAAGCATAGAACACCCAATGTATAATGTGCTTAAAGAACACCTATCAGGATTTAATGAATATTTTGTTGAAAATTTTCATATCTTGATCTGATGCTATACAGCTGGCAAAAATTTTAATATAGAAACTTTAAGAAAAGGTGCAATTGATTTGGATAGTAATAAACATAATGGATCCATATATAACTAAAAAAATTACCCATTCTAAAAATATTAACAAATTTAAATGCATCTAAAGAAATAGATGATAAGCTCTATTTATTTCCAACATTCAACATAGAAATGAAGATAGCTACATTACCAATTGGTTATTGTACCAATTATCTGCCCAGTTTTGATTCCTGCTGTGATTATGAAAATTGTGAAATAGCAAATGACTACAATGACGATAATTGCACATTAATTTGTGGTCATGAATATCATTATCAATTTTTTCAAGATCTATAGTTTAAATGTCAACATTGTCTTGATTATTTATTGAATGGCATTGAGTATTTAGGAAATTTAGATTAGAAAGTTTAGATAATACATCTGTATTAGGTGAAGAAGATGAAGAAGAGGATGAAAATACTATAGATAATG